ATGTTAATTGTCCAAACTTTCCCACTCAGCCAGCACTATTATGCCTTTTGGACACATTTACAGACAGGAACCGAACTTTCAACATACAACAAGAGCAAAAACCAGTCGCAGAGATTTGTGAGTTGGGCCCTGAGTAAAAGAAACTGTGATCGTCTCCAGGCAACAAATCATGTGATCAAATGAGTTCAACTTAATCTGTGGAGAGAGTTATGATTCAGACCAGGGATTATGATTGTTACATGATCTTTGCCCACCACTACGTCCAAGTTCAGCAGCCTGCGTCTGCGTAAAGGCAACCAACAAACCGTAAATACTACACTGTAGTGATAAAATACATGATACGTCTACTGCTGCACTATTCACACCTCTAGCTGCTGACTGAAGCTGCTCATTCTGCTGGTTTTAGTTGAAATATCCAGAGTAGCATTCAACTGATATTTCCAGTGATTATTAACCAAAGAAATGCAAATACAACATGATTTTTTTTAATGTGGGTTTGCAGTACGATCTCAGCACACAGTGGATCATGACAAGGATGTGAGTCTTAGAGCTACGATGTGTTTAGAATTAGAACATATTTAAATTCTGATCTGCTTTCCTGAACCTCCAGTGACTAACAAACGGTGGGATGCGCCTTCACCACTGGACTGAAGCGCAGACACTGGCAGCAGGATTAAAAACATCTCATTGTCATTACAGTAAGCACACATTACATACAGAGCAACAGGTGTTGGTGCCGTCTGTCTTTATTCCCCACTTTGTGCATTACAGGGAAATTCAAACTCAAAATACGAGAAATTCATGCGGTAATGCTCTCCAGCTTTCTTGCGATATCCTTCCCCAAAAATACTTCAGAGAAGTGCTGTGGCTTCTCTTGATGAAGACAACTGACGGAGGCCAAACAGACCTCCCAGTGAGGTTACGAATTCAAATATTTTGGACATTTCTCTGCCCTTCTCTGTTTACTCTGTGGCCACACTGGCCTTTCCCTGCATCACATCACATCGGCAACAATAAACGCATCAAAATGTGAAGCAGAGAAAGTGCATGGACACGAACTCACATCAGGAAGTAACTAACCGTTTTCATGGAATCCTCCTTGAACCGCCGCACAATGTGAAATGTTGTGTTAGCTTATGTTTTATTGTGTTGAACAGCTTTGTGGGTCGCACTCTTCTACGCGTAGAGATCACAGCCCTCATCAGGTGTCAGTGTGTTCAGGATTCATCACCCACAGACTGTAACGCCTCCCTCAGCAGACGGAGCGCTAACAGGAGTGGTGGCGACGCATCTGAACGGCTTCAGGGTTCTGCTCTCTCTGCTCCAAATCAAAGCCTCTCCGAGCAGGACCGTGAATATTTGAGACACTGCGAGGCGACACGAAAGTAAAAGAACGCGCAACCAAAAAGGCAGGAGCAGCCCTGTAATAACTTTGATCTGTTTGGTTTGAGGTGAAGTCCTGTGCAGACTCACATCTGCCCGTCCTGGTCCTCTCCATGGCAGCGAGTCTGCAGGATTATTCAGGTTAAAGAGGAGAAAGAGGAGACAGACTGGGCTCAGTGACTAATGTCTGAAAGCACTTCTTTTTTTTTTACACCGCAGACCATTTTTAAATTGACAATAGCCATTAGTCTTTTCGCTGGCCTGAATTCTCAGTTTGAAAATAACACAGAAAAAAGATGGCTAAAGAAAGACTATAAGAAAACTGGATGCACAAAAGAAACAGACACAAAAACAAGCCCAACATCAGGCCTTCTTCCTTGTGGTTGCTTCCTATGATATGTGTTGTTTTGACGTATGATAACATTTGAATTTACACTAACGGACGACGAAGCATCTACCAAGAAGTTCCAAAACAGCAGATGTTTATCTGAAAAAGCGATAACTAAATTTGAGGAAATGATTGTGTTACTTCAATGGCAACACCATAGAGAGCAGCTTCTCTCACGTTAGTCCCCCACAGATGACAGCTGATGATCACTGCGTACATCAACCGACACTGCTGCCCCTCTGAAAAGAAGGCAATAAATTATAATACAATAGCTCCATCCTGGTAAAATCTAGGATAGAATTTCAAATCCTGCATCTCACATATAAAGCGCTTAACGACCAGCTCCGTCTTACTTTAAAAACCTTATCGCACCGCATCATCCTAACAGAGCCCTTCGCTCTCAGACTGCAGGTCTACTTGTGGTTCCCAGAGTTTCCAGAAGTAGAATGGGAGGCAGAGCCTTCAGTTATCAGCTCCTCTGTTGTGGAATCAGGTCACAGTTTGGGTTCTGGAGACAGATACCCCCTCTACTTTAAAGATTAGGCTTAAAACGTTCCTCTTTGATAAAGTTTATAGTTAGGGCTGGGCACTTTACTATGTTAAGCACTGTGAGATGGAATATGTTGTGAATCACGCTGTGTTATTAAAATTGAATATATTCAAAAAGAGCACTGTTGCCTCGCAGCAAGAAGGTCGCCGGTTCGCATCCCGGTGGGGGCACCGGGATCTTCCTGCGTGGAGTCTCCATGTTCTCCCCGTGCAGTGTGGGTTCTCTCTGGGTTCTCCGGCTTCCTCCCACAGTCCAGAAACATGTTGAGGTTAATTGGTGATTCTAAATTGTCCGTAGGTGTGAATGTGAGTGTGCTTGGTTGTCTGTCTCTAAGTGTAGCCCTGTGATAGACTGGTTACCTGTCCAGGTGAACCTGCCTTCACCCTGAGTCAGCTGGGATAGACTCCAGCCCCCCATGACCCTGGTGAGGATTAAACAGTGTATAGAGGATGGATGGATGGATGGATGGATGGATGGATGGATGGATGGATGGATGGACATTCAGAAAGTGCAGTCAGAACCCAGCTAGAGGCTACATGCAGATTTCACATACTGCTGACAGCTGAAAGGTGTAGGTGATAAACTGGTCACCTGTTCTGCTGATGATCTACTTCAATAAAAACCAGTGCAAGTCGTTGGAGAAGGTCATGAGGAAAAATGCAGCACACAGAGAATTTGTGTGATTATTTGTGGCCTGGAAGAGCAACAGTCTAGAACCAGAACTCGAGTGATTTTTACACAGAGTCGGTTAATGGGAGCCTGCGGTTGCATTTTTATCAAAATACACTCAAATTTTAACTCAGCTGCTGAGTCGCAAAATGTGAAAAACGTAGAATTCTAACAAGAAAGAAGAACGCGTGAAGTCAAAAGATGAGATTCTGATCAGTAAAAGTGAAAAGCTAAACCAGTCTTGTGAAGAATTTCTGGGTTTAAATCTGCTTCAGACCTTTGTGTTTAAACCTCCCCCCACATGCGATCTGCTGCTCTCCACTGTCATCTATCTAATGAGCTGAAAAATGCCAAAGTCTTGGCTGAAATGTCCCAGCGCAGCACATCTCCCCCACCAGTAACCACTGGGCTCTTACTGGAGACGCTGCTGGAGACAGACAGACGACCCGACTCTGATTCGGTCCAACTAATGAGACCCTCTGACTGCACTGAGTGATTTACTAGCAACTTCACGTCTTTTTTATTTGAGTTATTTCAAGGCATTCGTTAAACAGACTATGTAAAGTGGCCGAGGACATGGAAAAGCATTTTTTAAGGCAGTTTAAAGTTTAGAATGTGTGCTTGATGTCCACATCGCATGTCAGGAAACCTTTTGCAATGCACAAAATTCCAAAAGCAATGCGTTAACAGGCTAACATCAATAACACTGTGTTGCAAATACACAGCGCCGCGTACATATCTTCAAAATATAAATGTGAGACACAAAGCGAAGTGGCAGGTCGATGATGCTGAATGTGTGGGAATAACGAGGCTGATCGTTTGGGATGTTGGACCTCATCCTCGCCGAGTTATCATAGAAACACACCTTCACCCTCTGAAATGATCTCACATTTTGGATTTCCTGCTGATTTGTGGAATAAATATCTGACAAACAGGGAAGAGTCTTGTCAATATTAACTGCTTGACAGACTGCTGCCACTTTTGTTTTCCTGCGATTAAAACTTAGTTGGTGAAGAGTTTTTGTCAACTATCGTTAACCGAAAGGCAGAAGCACGCCACAAAGACAATAATCCATAAATTTGCTGGTTCCCTGCATCAGAAATCCCAAACAGCACCTCTTTCACAAAGATCTGAGAGGTTTCAAAGCACAGATACGAAGTCTACACAAGCACAGAGGTCATCCTCCGTCTCAGTGTCACACAGGATGATGTGCCTTCCAGGTACTTCTGTGAGCTCATATGTAATCTGCTGTGGCTTGCACTGTTTTTGCAGGATTCCTCGTATCCACAAGAGAGCCCGCGAGGCCGGCTGGGCATCGCCGTAATGAAACCGCCCTGGGAGGTCCACGGGGAAATGTGTGAGAATATTTGCCCTCCAGCAGCTTCTCATCACTGCCGCTCCACTTCCTGTTACTGAAACGGTCTGATTGGCTCAGACCTGGCTGTCACCGAGTTTCCCATTGGGTGGAGAAGTTCACCCTGTTTGGTGTGGGACGGTGACCGTGGGAAGAGGAGAGCGGCATCATGTACGACGCATCCATCAATCAGTGGCGAGTGAATCACAACATGTTCATCACCACGTTAGTCTGGAGCAAAAACTGCAGTGGAGTAAATGGTCATCGTTTTTCTCGTGTTAAAGACTGGTGGGATTTTTTTAGGAAGGCGACTTTCTATCATGTACTTAATGTCAACAAATACTGTGAGAGTTCCTCTGTGCCGTAGAGCTCCACAAAGACCGTAACAGCTCAGTGGCTTGCTGGCAGTCAGTGGGCTAACGGTAACTCTTCTCTCTCATCGTGTGCCTGTTCCAGCATGTTTGCAGTGTAACGCTGCGGCTCTGTGACATGTTTTTAAATCATTTTTCATCGAGCTCAATGGCACAGATGAATGATGCTGGTTAGTAAAGGCAGCTCATTGTTGGCTTTGCTTTTTTTCACAGTTTGTAGACAATAAGGAAAACGAAGCAAGTGTTTCAGAGCACAGCGTGGTGGAGGCTTTACTGGGGACTTACCTGAACAGGTGTCAGCTGGGCTCGGGGATCAAACACTCTCAGCATCTTGTCCTAACCAAGCATGACAAAAAGAAGAATGTGAATTTTTTTTTTTTTATATCAGAATACACGATATAGCATTTAACATAAATCAGCCCTGCATTAGTTGTATTTTCATTCTCAGTCCAGTGCAGCATCTGAAGTTGAGTCCCAATAATGTGAGACGTCTGACATACAGGAGAGGCCAAAGAGCATGTGCGAGGTCAGGATTTAACGTCCCCTCAAAGAAAATGGGAAAGGAATTAAAGGTTGTTTTTTTTTTTTCAGAGAACTGAAATATGAACGTCATGCATTGAAAGAATTAATAAAGAGTCCTGCACGGTCGTGTGACTCCCATAAAGAACAACACAAACTCTCAGAAGTTTCCCCGTTTATCAGCGTGATCTCATGGATTCATTGTTAGCGCTGACCTCCCCGCGGCCTCGTGTGCCTTGACCCCAGGCAGCGCAAACACATTCGGCATCAATCAGAGCAGCCAATCAGGGAGGCTCCGGCATGATTAGGAGGAAATGGGGCCTAATGGGATCCGGCTGTGACTGGGACATGCAGCCATGTCACTCAATACTGCTGAGCGACTGTGATCACATGCTGAGCTGATAGCAGGTAAATGTAGACGCGCAGAGGCCAAACACTTCAACATGTCAGAATGAATCTGGAGGCCGACTCTGACACAGTCAAAAACACACATATATTATAAATAAATACAGAGGGGCACTAAGCAGCAAGCAGAATATAAATACAAACATCACATGTCCAGCCTGTCTTATCCTCTCATGTTAAAACACACATCAGAGCATCAGCTTCTTCTCATCCTGCTCCTCTTAGCAATCAAAGTCGCCATTTATTTGGTATTCTTTAACTCGAATAGCAAACAGAGGTTTCGATCAATGCGCTGTCTCTTCATCCCGTCAGTGTGAGCGGAGCCCACCCACGAATATGATGCCCCTCGGCTCTATCTTCAGGCCTCTGTGACCTCTGGGACTAAACCAGAGGCTCAGGGAGTCGTGCAGGAACAACACACTCACAAACATACTTTCCCTCCTCGTGACCCATTGCCGAGAACCCACCTGCTGCAGAAATGTCAAAGTTTGGCAGAAATCGTCTCTGAGCTTGAAGTTATTTTTTTTGGAGAGCCAATTACTCCCTTTATTTAGGGATATGCAGAATATCTCCTTGTTTAATCAATTCACCATAAGATCAATTATGATCTTTGCAATTTCCCACACTCTGAGCTGATGGCCTATAAAATGTCTTATTCTGGGAGAAGATATGCGAAGATAATGTTTACTATGATGCAGGAAAAAAAAGAATCAAATTAATCGACTAATCATTGCAGCTCTAAAATTAGCCGTCATCCGAATGCATAATCCTGTTCAAGCGGCTCACATTTCAGGCCCCTGCCCATAAAAATCCCACGTTAGAAACACCCAACACATGCATGTTTACTGTGCACACACACAAACACACACTTGCCTGATTAAAGCTGCTGAATGTCCTCCTCGGTGTTGCAGTGCAAACACCAACATATGAGAGAGGAAACTATGTGACTGTACAAACACAGCGATGAGGAGCAGCTCACGTACAGATGTGTCCACCGACTAACCACACACACTCAAACAAGCAAACACCCTCTGAAGCCTCTGACAATAAGACATATAAACACACACACCATCTAAACTCATAAATGCACAGATGGAGGGCCCAGAAAGCTGTGTGTGTGTGTGTGTGTGTGTGTGTGTGTTTGTCTGTGTGCTAAGCCAGCTGCTGTTTAATCAAAGTGACGGAGCCTCATTCTCAAGCTGCTGTTAATGAGTTTTCACCGCCAGTCTGCTGCGCGCCACTTTCACATGTATGCAAACACACACTGATGCTGGGAATGTTCAGCCTCCCGTTCCCATGGTTACTGCCGTCACAGCCCTTACAGCGGTCTGACGGTGCAGGATCCTTTCCTCGAGTATTCCTTCACCATGGGAACTGTGGTGTGGAGCCCGGTTATAACGCGAGGCGGACCGTAAATCCAACGACACCTCAGGTCTAAATATCTCAGCAGCCGGACCTGCTCTCACTACCTGTGGATTTCATTCAGCTGAATGCCGCCTTTCTTTCTGCCAGAGTGTCATAAATATACATCTCTCCGGGTCCCAATGAGGCCTGTCATGATTGCTGCCCTTTGGGGTGGTGGTCCCTCCCCTTCATCCTCCCCCAGCCGCCCCAGTGTTTACCCTACGGAGGGCCCGGATTGGACCCACATGTTAGCAGGCCCCTGTTTGCTTTAATAAGCTGGATTGGAGAGATTGAAAGAGGCCTTTTGGTTAAATGACACCAGAATCCGACAGGGCAAGAACTGCGGAGGCCCCCCTTACACACACACACATAGACACACTAAAACACACACACACACAGATGGAGGGTCAGTCGCTCTGCTGAGGACGATTATTCTGTCAAGTTAATGCCATGATTTGGGTCTTATAATAATTTGTTCCTTGTCAGAGCAAAGACAAACACGGACGACTTGACCGACAGTCGGACCTGTTAAAGACGTGAATGCGCTATAATTATGTGTCAAGGGTTGTTTGGTCTTAAGCTCAAGTTAACTCATCATGCAGTTTCTGAAGTGCACGACAGAGGCCTCGTTTTCATGTCAATCAAACCACGTGTGGTTTCCGAAAAGATGGAAGTGCACAGAGGCGTTCGCTCGAGTGAACAACATGAGAGTTCAAACTGTGGAAAACAAGAGTTGTATTAACCTCCACTGATGAAAAGCAGCTGGAACATTCTACAAACCAAATATATTCATGAAACAATTCCACCTCGGCTCATAAAACCGCTCTTTCTCTGCCCCCACTCATTAACTCACACTGCCTCCCTCACACCTCTTCCTACAATATTAACAACCTCAAGAGTGGAAAGCACTTCGCCAAAAAGATGCACTTTCTCTCTGGAGAAACTAAATCAGCGTCCACCTCTACAGGACTCTGCAGTCATGCTGGTCAAAGAAGTGAAATGATGAGCAGAATTCAACTTTTAACAGAGAATGTGTTCATAGAGAGATGTGTGCTGGGCATCAGGTCAGAGGTCAGATTAGATTATCCTTCACATATGACCTTGTATTATTGTGAGTCCCTTAACTGCCAAGTTATTACATCTGATGCCTCCACAAGCATCATTATCACCATGTTAGAACTGACGATTACATGTTTTTTTTTGTCAAGACATTCCAAGTTTAAGTTTTTACCCTCTAAGGAATTGCTCACTAGCTCCTAATTCAATGAGTAATGTCATCCCCACCCTTCTTTATGAGCATCCCTTCTGTTGACAGTGTGATTAAATAGACCCCATATGCGCATTTAAGGAGCAGGGGTGTCCAACGTGAAGCCCGCGGCACTGAATGTGAGACACTGGCTGCATCTAGTGGTCCCAACCTGCAACTACAGCAACCACCTTGGATCCATGGTTCTGTAAAACGGTGAAGGGACTCAGACAAAATACAGATTTCCCTTTATCATGAGCTGTGCAGGTATATCTGTGCAGTGAGCCATCCTCACCTTGCAGGAGGAGGCCAGCAGGGAGCCGTCCTGCTTCCAGCTCAGACTCTGCACCAGGTCACCGTGCTGCTCCAGAGCTGCAGACACACAAACCATCGCTTAGAGAGGTAATAGAAGGAAACATACAATGCTCATGTTGAACAGGGACACAAAAAAACAATGAAAAAGAAAGCTGAAAGGTTTAGAAAAACAGGAAGCATGAAAACACAAACAATGAACAGAGTGACAGCACACGCAAGACAACAACACACAATCTGGAGGGTCACTGCAGGAAAATGCAGGAGTGAGATGAAGCCATCAATCAAGCACACACAGTTCAGAAAACACAACGATAAAAGTATGAATGATTTACACCAAAGGATGGATCATATGTCCTTCCATTTTAGCCATATGTGAGCGGTTAGGAGCATGACGCAGGGCCATAGGTGAGCACAGCACAGTGGGTGTGAACTGTTCAGTTTCACAACAACAGACAGATGAAGGGTGCTCTTGTTAGGACAGTTACACACAAAGTAGTCTGACAAGAGCTCAAACTGTAGACGAAAAAGAACCCAAACACACTCATTCACATTGTTTTCGTTCACATCTTGGTCCTTAATGAAAAGTAAACTATGGATGAGGGTGATGAAGGACGCTGTGGGGGAGCAGCTCATGAAAGTCTGATCAGCAGTGAGCAGCAGCAGCCAGCTGTCATGGATGGGCAGGAAGGAGCAGTGTTGGTGGAGGGGCGGGGGGGGCCAGAGGATAGGGACTATATCCTGAGGCCAGTCCGGGAGACTGGGACCAGGACTGCAAAACAAAACTTTACCTCTGCTGCTCCGGCACTTAGACAGAGCCACAGGGCTGCAAAACGTAGGCAGTGTCAGTCAGACAGTCTCCAACGAAAAAGTGCAACCAACCACTTCACTCCAAATATAAACTAATGTTACACACAGAAACAAAACATGGCACAACATGAACTGAAGACTAACTGACAGAGACTGAAATGTTAAATGTAAAGTGACAGTACATGATGTACAACAAAAGACTTCAATAACCGTCTTTCTGACGATCTGCGTTTTAATCTCAACTCTGAATGCACAGAAGCAGCTGTGGCTACCTGCCAGCGGTTCATCCTGGCGGCTGGTGTCCCAAATCAGAGGCGTCTTAGCAGTGCCGAGTGCCAGCAAGCCGGAGGAGGTCGGGTGGAAGAGCACCAGCTCCAGCCTGCCGTGGCCCGGATGCAGCGTCAGCTCTGGACTGCTGGGCTGCTGCTGCTCTGGATCACACAAACGCCACAGCTTCACCTGCATACAGAGAGCGTGAGACATGAAAACAGAAGCTTCTTTCTTCCCTTCATCTCTTACGCACACTTTTTTTCACTTTTTACCTCTTTACGCATTCTCTCATGTGCACATGATATGAAAAGTTTATGATCTGGAGCTTGACGATCAAAACAATATCACAATGTAATGTCGACCTCGAGTGATTTATGTCTCTGAATTCTGATACCACACAGAATAATTTGGGGTTTGTGCTCAGGTTTAGATTTCTAGCTGATGCTGACAGATCAGATTAAGACAGATAATATAGAAACATCTCTGGAGTCATAATTCACTATTATTTAACTGGCTCAGCGTAACCAGGTGGGTAAAACAATATGCACAGCTGGCACAAGATAAGAGCAGTGAAAGTGCTCTGCAGATCACTCGGGTGTCGGTCTGTGTGTGGCGATAGCTGCATGTGGTTACTCAGGTCTGCGAGGTAAACCGAGCTGCTGAGTCTAAAGATGCAGACCGACACTCAGCACATTCCAGGAGGTGAGGGCACCTGCGGCTGAGGACAATGTGCTGAGAGGAGTCTGCAGAGGGTTTAAATAACAAAAGCTGAGAAGGTTCATATTGCATCCAAAGCACTGCCAGGAACAACAAAGTCTGAACGGATGGAAAGTGAACTTCTGTGTACAGCAAGAAGACAAAGCAAGATTAAAGGAAGAAAGCGAATGAAGATCAGGAAGAAGCAGGACAATAAATAGCTCACTGTTTCATCTCCAGAGCATGTGGCCAGAAGACTCTCATCAAAAGGAGAAAAGTCCATATCAGTCACCAGATCTGACAGCGAGGAAGGAAAAATAATGGAAATTAGAAAACAGATCTGTGTTGCAGCTGACTTAATTTCATTTCTGGGCATATGCATTTCTCATTTGACAGAAGAACAAAGAAATACTACCTGAATGGCAGGAGATCTGGGTAACTGTCCATTGGCCATCTGAACCAGGTTTGACTGAAGACAGGCCCAGCATTCCTCCACCTGCACACACAGACAGCACACAGCAAATGTCAGGAGTCACACTTTGAAAATCTGCTCTCTGAGACTTTAATGTCCCACATCGTGCCACTTTTCAGCCACCTAAAGCCTCATATGTCCCCAGAATGTGTCCTTTAATCTGTCAGCTCAAAGTCCTGCAGTGATAGTTCATTACTCCCTGACTCCTGGTTTTGATTTGTTCTAAAGTGGCTGTTTCGGTGTCTGCAGCTTTACATGCAGCTGAGACTTCAGGAAGAAGACTCTCTCTGCATCTGGACTGACAGCCTGGAGCAGAAAGGTTGATCACCCCAACAGCCAACACAGACGTGAACGAATGTGTGTTGATAATTTTACATGGAAGCTTCACTGAATTCATGGCACATGTGACATTGTCAGTACAGGTGTGTTGTGAGATAATGACTGTGGTTGTAAAATCAGTAGTTCAGCCACAGAGCAACAACTTGGAAATGGCTCTCAACTGACTGCCCGTTAACATTTGCTCTTAATGTGCTGCGTTTCGCTGTTACTTTATCATATGTACATGAGAACAGCGTTACTGGGAAGTCCTCTGTATTATAACACAGTGTATGTGAGGCCAGAAAGCACGGCTACGGAGACAAACTGCAGCTGAAAGAGTCTTTATATTATTTTGCTTTACACCTCCAAGTTTTTAATAGATACAAAACACAATATAAATTGATTTTCACAATATGGGACCTTCTAAAGTGGGTCCTGGATTTCCACCCAGCTCAAAATGAACTGTTCATATCACAGCTGACTATGTTTCAAACAATAAAGCTTTGGTTTGGAAAAAAAAAAAAAGAAAATCCTTTTTGTTTAATTTTAAATTGATTGACCTCCATTGTCTGATTGAATTAAAATTGACTGAAACTGTAAAGAGTGGGAGTTTGCATGTTCTCCCCGTGCAGCGTGGGTTCTCTCCGGGTTCTCCGGCTTCCTCCCACACAGTCCAAAAAACATGCTGAGGTTAATTGGTGATTCTAAATTGTCCGTAGGTGTGAATGTGAGTGTGCTTGGTTGTCTGTCTCTCAGTGTAGCCCTGTGATAGACTGGCAACCTGTCCAGGGTGTCCCCTGCCTTCACCCTAAGTCAGCTGGGATAGACTCCAGCCCCCCATGCCCCCATGACCCTAGTGAGGATTAAGCGGTGTATAGAAAATGGATGGATGGATGGATGTAAAGAGTGATTACTATTATCTGCATAATGCAAACGTTTCTGCTGAACCACGTGTGAAGGCCTTACCAGCCTGCTCGGCGTTGAAAGCCACCAGCTTGGAGCTCGCTTTGATGTGGTTCCCCTGGCAGGAGAAGGAACCTGCACGAACACCGTGGATCCATTCCTGGATTCAAACACACAGAGACAGGAATCAGGGATCGTCGTGGAGGAAACAAGGGTTTGGTCATGCACATTGATAAGGAAAGCCAAAAAGAGCACAGCCAGCTCGCTCCACTGAAGAACCCTGTTTATTTGTTGCATAGCCTTCAGAAGCACACATGACCAAGTAGCTGTGAAACGGAGGGAAGAAAGTGAACAGTGCAGTAAACAGGAAGGATCCAGCTGAGAGGCACAAGTGTTGAGGAAGAGGAAGCTGCTCTGCACAGCAGCTCATAAAACCTCTTTCACAATGTTAACAACGACAGTGTGTCTGTACAGCAACTGCTGCTGAGCTGCTCCTCACAAGCTCAGGGCTGCAGACATTTGGCCTTCAGAGGGAACTTCACAGCTCCAACAGTTCAGCTGAGCAAAGATGCTTCACTGTTTCGTTTATACAACGAAAGTGGATATAAACTTCAGCAGAAGTACTTTTTCTAGACATTTTGGTCCAAACTGAAGTAGAACGCAGATCCCAAACTTTAATTTCTTCTGTTAATTATAATAATGACAGGTCACCATTATCTCTGCATAGCTCATCCACCTAACAATATGATTTCTCCTGAGCTAAACATTCAGGGACTTCTGACAGGTGCAACAGCTTGCTCTGTCAAAGCCTTTTCCGCATTCAGATAGTTGTAGATATTAAAGGTTTGTGGTACCTTTTTGATTCCATTTAAACAAACATGTATAAGATGCGGTGTGTTTTTCTGTATTTACACTACGCAGGTTTCTCGCAATCAGAGAATTAGACCTTGTGCTCTGAATCCTCCCAAAGGCCCAATGAGTCAATGAGCCTTGACACCAGACAGGAAAGTGTTCAGGGACTTTAGGGCTAAAGGCCAGCTGGCTGAATTAACGTACAAACTTCTCCTGCGACTATTCACTGGAGCCTCAGATCAGAATGTCATCTCATCTTTGTCAATAAATCTGCCTCTCCACTCTGTCTTTTGTCTCATTTTAATTCTTGCAGTGTTTGAAATGACAGCAGACAAACATGCCTTCAGCAGTGGAACAGCCTCGTCCTCACATTCATGAGCAGAGCTGGTTTAACATTCACAGGAGCAAAGCACCACCTGCTGTGTCAGATCTGGTGCAGATTGAAGACCAACCATCACGTCCCTGTGCATGCCGAGCATTTTACTGCTCAGTAAAACAAGGAGCAGATTACATAATCCACCTCAGCGAGAAGAGACGCAGCAACCTGAAACTAATGAGTCCAGAGGAGGAGAAAAATGGCAGATTTGTGAAACCACGGTCACGTTCAGACACGTCGCCTCCTGTAATTTGCAGAATTTGCGCCTGACAGAGATCATCGAGGCAGATTAAACACTTGTACATGTTGTCTGCATGAGAGAAAACAGCTCCAAGTGTGCGATGAGCGGCTCTACATGAAAACCAATGTGTAAACTCTGCTACTGTGGCATCAGATGCTGATGGACGTCTACTGGAGGCTAACAGCTCTATGCAGCCACATGGCTCCTAGTTTCCCCTAGAAGCGAACAGTCACTGAAAATATCAGCTTGTGGGATCAGATTTTCGTCCTCTCAGGCTTCCAGATGCAGGAAGTTCAACATCCCTTGCAGGCAGGCAGGCGTTCCCCCAAACACCTCTGAAGTAGCGCAGCTAACTACCAAAGCTAACGTTAGTAGGTGAAGCTGGCTGCGCCCTGGACGCTCGCAGGCTACTCACATCTTTCTTGGATATTTTCGGAGTTGTGTTTTTGAATTTGGACGTCTTAAAACGATTCATGCTGCCGTTCAAATTGACTTTCGTGCCTTCCGGGTGTCTCGGTGGAGCTGGTTGGTACTCGGCAGAGGCTCCTGCTGCAGCTGACAGCTCAGCTCCGCGGTGTTTGCTCGCTTTGAGACGCGAGGCTGTCCGGTGGGGCGGAGTTCAACGTTTTCAGACGTGGCGCTTTACTACGCGCCACTCCGTATAATAAAACGTTCGCACCCTGTTTTACTTGTCACTCGTGATGCTCGTTTACACAAACAAACCAATGGTTACTTTGAGTTTGTCGGGATTTATAGAAAATACAGTATTCTGTCAGATGAACTGTTTAGCTTGTTGTTTTGGTGGTTTTTCGACAGAGACACATTTTGCATTAAATAAATGCGCTCTGTGACGCCCCGCTACGTCACGGACATGCGCAATGTGGCACAAGCGGCGGCCAGTGAAGGCATGATGGCGTCCTCGGCTACTCGCTGCTCCTCACGCTGGATTACAGTCGCCGTGTCCGCTGGACGCCGGAGGGCTGCCGGGGCGACTGTCTCCTCTGGCCACGGAGGGCTCCGGAGCTTTTCTACGCTGGGAGGAGAAAACCTTTGGCGCGGAGGGAGCGCGGTGTGCGGCGGAGCAGGGAAAGCGGTGACATTGAGAGGGCTGTCAGGTGAGTGTGTTAGCCATATGGTACTGGCCTGTGCTAAGCTAAGCTAGGCTAAGCTAAACTAGGCTAAAAACTGTGTTATTTCTGTTTTTCTCAGTGACGCTGGTTAAAACAACTAAATACATGCAGCTGCTGATTTCTTAAGCGAACTCTGACGGTGACACGAGCTCATGACACTGACCCATTTGCTGTGATGCGCTTCGAGAAAGTTCGTTTAAATGTGATGCAATCAGTTTTGCTTACTTTGCAGTGATCAGATTGAATTTGCAGAAGGGTCGATGCAGGGTTTTGTGGCACCAAGAGAAGGTGATCGTCAGTGTCACCCATCAGAGCCAATGCAGAGCTTTAAAGGAGCGTTTCAGCTCATGTGCAGTCTGCAGCCTTTACATCGTGAATGAAATGTTAATATTGCGTCAAAATGGCTTGATTTCATTCACGAGGGGAATATCTTAAAGATTATATCGCACAAGACAATAAAAATGGCGAATATGTCTTTATTTTATATATAAAATACTGTGAATTGTGTTAATTGCAGTCTAAAGATAAAAATATTACACCCACCAAGCACATGTAGTCTAAACATTAGAAAAAGTGTCATATTATTGTCCTAATGTCACGTCTGGTTATGACAAAAACTGCAAAAATTTCTCAGGTGATGATTATTGAGTTGCTGAAGTTTCACAAACCTTTACGATCACCACAGACATCAACTTCATTTGTATTTGCACATTTTACAGGTAAAGTAGACTTATATGATCTGGGCAGTACAGCTTTAATAAGAAGTGCACAACACCAGTATTACATTGTACTCAGTGACCCGTTATACGCTTCCCTGATTAGTGTGTCTAACTTTATCCCGACGCCTTAAATCCACACAGTGATCTCTGTCAAACGTAGTAATTATATCACCTCAACAAGAACTCGGAATTTGTTTCGTTGTCCGTTGCAGTTTTCTACGTTTCCCGCAAGTAAGTCATCTCCACATTTAGAGGCCTTTGTGTTTCTTGAGTCACATCAGGTCAATTAAAGCAGACTTTATAGGCCTGTCCTTTACAATGTGTGTCACATACATGTAGCATCTACAGTAAACAGTACTATCTAACAGTTCAGCTGTTAGATAGTGACTGAATGTGACTGAACAGATGCAACTCTACAGCCTTATGAATATCATCTACTTACCCTTTGACCCTGCTGGACATCTTTCAGGTCTCAGATCACCCCATGCTGTCTACACTCTGTCCTTTCACACAAGTGCTGCTGCTAGCAGCAAGCAGGACTTCTACCAGGTCCTTGGGGTTCCTCGCACAGCAACCCAGAAGGAGATCAAGAAAGCCTACTACCAGGTCTGTTCCTGCACTTTGTGTTGGTCCTCAGCTGACCAGTCGTCACAGTAGCTGACAGTGTGTTTGTGGTCCCTCAGATGGCTAAAAAGTACCACCCTGACACCAACAAAGATGACCCACAAGCAAAGGAGAAATTTGCTCAGCTGGCTGAGGCGTATGAGGTTTGTGTCAGTCTTCATTCCAGCTTTCACTCATAGTAACCTATTCATGGCTCCCTCTTCCAGTGTAGGTGGAAGAATGAATCCCTTGAACTTTGTTTTCCTCACAGGTCCTCAGCGATGAAGTCAAGAGGAACCAGTATGACACTTATGGCTCAGCGGGTTTCAACGCCGGTCAGGCAGGTGGTGGGCAGCAGTACTGGAGTGGACAGGCCAGCAGCGTGGACCCAGAGGAGCTGTTCCGCAAAATCTTTGGAGAATTCTCAGGAGGCCGTGGTTTTGGAGACTTTAACGCCATATTTGATCAGCCACAGGAGGTTAGTGGGAGATGACAAAGTGGAAAGTTTTGTGAGACCTCAGCTGATTCTCGTTTGGGCAGTTTTAGTGGTGTTGACGAACCTCTGCCTCCCTCTTGTTGGCTGCAGTACTTCATGGAGCTGACATTCACACAGGCAGCAAAGGGAGTCAACAAAGAGATCTCTATTAACATGGAGGCAGGCTGCCAGCGCTGTGATGGTAAAGGCCACGAGCCGGGCACCAAGGTGGAGCACTGCCACTACTGCAATGGCTCCGGCATGGTAAGAGCTCAGGACACGGGCCGTCCTTAAACTGTCTTTGTACTGAATTGTTAAGAAGTGTTTTGTCCCTGTAGGAAACCATAAACACCGGACCATTTGTGATGCGCTCCACATGTCGTCGCTGCGGTGGCAAAGGTACAGTCATTTCCACTCCGTGTAAATCCTGCCGGGGAACAGGACAGACCAAACAGAGGAAAACCGTGATGGTTCCTGTGCCTGCAGGTCAGTCGCTCTGTTTACATCCTGTCAATACCTCAGGGATATTTCTGCTTTTCACCAGAGCATGAAGCCACTCATCAGACTCAGGATGTGTTCTCGGCTGTCATTGCTTCATAAATTCAGTAAAACATTTCTTAAACGTGCACCCATGCTGATAAACTTAATTCTGAATGCAATGTCTGTTTTATTTTATATATCCCCAGTTATTGCAGCTGTAGTTGCATAATGTGAAAAATGAGAGGGACAGAAACATAACGCTTCTCTAGTTGAACGCTTAATTTGCTGCAAGTTTAGATTTGTTTTTGTCACCTTTATTACCAGATAATCATGCATGTTAGCAGGGTAACTAGTCCTCCACTGAAGCTTCAGTTAGTTGCACAACAAAGACATCAGCCTCGGAGGGAGTTCATCTGTGGCTTCAGGCTCTTCACAGACCATAAATGCAATAAGAAAAGTACATGTAAACACGTTATATTTTGGTGGTTTCTTAAAGCCTCTCCATGCTCTTTTTCTTTTTTTTTTCTTTTAGGAGTGGAGGATGGTCAAACAGTGAGAATGCCAGTTGGAAAGAAGGAGATCTTCATCACATTTAGGGTTGGTATCTACTGTGCATCAGCTGCTAGTATTTGTTGCTGGTCTCACAGCATATAAATGAATTCCAGGCAGTGTACATTCCCCTCAGATCTCCCCTCTTGTGTAATGTCAGTTTGTGGACGAGTACGAGACGCTGATCTGTCTTAGCTCTTTGACTTTGAATTTGCTCAGACAACAGAATTAGCTCAGACATGTGTGATTTTTGATTGTTCAGGTCCAGAAAAGCCCCGTGTTCAGGAGGGACGGTGCTGACATCCACTCTGACGTTTACGTGTCTGTGGCACAAGCCATCCTGGGCGGCACAGCCAGAGCACAGGGCCTCTACGAAGCACTCAATTTATCTGTGAGTAGATGCAGAAGCTGCCCAGCTGACGGGGCAACATTTCAAACAGTGTGATAGCCGGCTGATCATTTTCCTTGTCTTCAGATTCCTGCAGGCATCCAGGCAGACCAGAGGATCCGTCTGACAGGGAAAGGAATCGCTCGTGTCAGCGGCTATGGCTTCGGAGATCATTATGTCCACTTCAAAATAAAAGTACCCAAGTAAGACTCCACAGTAGAGATGACAGGAAGAGCCTTGTGATTGAATATAATGACTGTAATTTAAATAAGCTTCACAGTGACCTTTACTAAAGGTTGTTTTCCTGTGCAGGACACTGACAGACAGACAGAGAGCTCTGTTAATGACCTACGCTGAGGACGAGACGGAGGTGGAGGGGACGGTGAACGGCGTCACATCCACCGCCACAGGTACCAGGACAGTCCCACCGATGCTCTCCTACCTTTTTTTTTTTCCTTGCTTGATATACAGCTTGGATCCACTGAACTGGGGTTTTAGAGAGGGAAGCCGTGCTCGGTCGTACACCTGGCTGACGCAGTGTTAATCTCTGTCCAGGTGGGGGCAGCAGTGGTAAGCGGTCTGAGGCAGGGCACAGCCAGAATGACAAGGAGAAAGTGAAACAGCATGGGGGCTTCCTCTCCAGAATAAAGAACATGTTTAGCTCTTCCTGACAGCCACAAACCAGGTAGGACTGGTTGTTGGAATATCTCAAATGATTGTCTTTGGTTTTGTCCTGACAAATAGACGTGATGCACAGTGCAACACTTACTTTGATCTGGTTTGTGGCTGTCATGTAAGAAAACAGTGATGCGTGCACCCCTGCATTCAGTTAGATGTCTGTTCCCACTGTCTTCAGTGAGGCTGCTGTTGCCATTTTTAAGTTCTTCTTTCTCCCTCTTCAAGGTAAAAGATCATCCTGGAACTGAGAGGCTGAATCAGAGGACAAAAGACAGACAGTGAAATGAGGAGTAGTGGGTGTTGGATAATCCTGCGAGGGCTCTGGATCATGACAGACTGATTTACCCAGCCGTGGAGCGAGAAAGCCAGAGGATCACCCATCCCGTCAAAGCGAATCCACACAAGAGGATCTTCCAGTTTGCCAATCACCTCTCCGTCAAATGTCCATTGAGGCTACTGTGGCAGCAGAGACTTGTCATTTCTCCTGGCAGTCGGTGCATGCTGCTTCTCTGCCGTTTGCCAAAAGACAAACTTGACGCCGATGGCAGAATCAACATGCACAGACTTAAATTATTGTATTGACAAAGACTATAAAACAGTGTAAAGTTGTATTGAAGGTTAAATAATCGCTTATTAATCCTTCAGTTCTGTGTGCGTTCTTTGTGTTTGACACTATCAGTCCTTACAGTTTTACCTGTTTACAGAGTTTTAGCGTCGGCAGTGTAAAGGTGTGTCTGCAGAGGATAGTTAGTCTCTACTGACGGAGGATTAAACTGTAGGAAGCTTCATTTTATCTACTGTCAACACTCTGTACTCTGTCCCTCCTTAACACTTTACGTTATGAGAGAGAAACCACTTTTAGTTCTGAACCATTATCACATTTGTACATAGACAGCTGCGGATCAACCATGCATCAATGTGACATATAGAAGTGATATACTGTACAGCTATAATAAAGCTATGGTCTGGGAGAGGAAATGGAAGGTATTTATTCCATTGGGTGTTTGTTGATGCAGGGGATTTAAAAAAATAATAATAATTAAATCCCCAAATTCAGCATAAGTTGGGAAACAGATTTTATTTGTTTATATTGACAGCACAACATAATCCTGAATTTTCACTCTCATACAATGAGAGCGCTCTAGTCAGTCACAAATAAAGCTCCAGTTACATACAGAAGGATATTTAGAGCAGAGTTAATGAAAATGCAAGAGAATTCAAAACCAACATGAATTAGTCAAGCACTCCATACTTATGGCCATCACTGTGTGCACTCCTGAGATTCAAGTAAGTGTCCCTTCAAGTACGTCAAAAAAATACTGAAGCCTTCTGACACATCACACTTGCATCATAAAAATAGGGGCAATAACACGTGGAAACTACAGGAGTATATCACACAGTCCCTGTATTAGTCCTTGTGTTGCGATCTGACTGCAACATGAATCTTCAACTCTACAAAACACATCATCACTTGCCACGTGTCTGACCACACAGCTGTCGTCCTGAACGAGCTTTTGTTAATGCAGAACTACTTTGCATCCATTATTGCATGGATGCGTTGTGCAAATACACAGCACAAGAACCTGGGCAGGTTTCTTTTGGTACTCTGTGTTGAAAAGATAAAGCAAAGTTAATAAAATGCTATTACTGAGTTAGGATAAATATTAAACTTCAGCGCCGTTACACTGCATACAGCACACACAGCACGACATATTTCTCCTCATTATGTTAAAAAAACAACAACATTGTGTACTACTGGGTTTTTTTCCCAAACATACAGCATTTGTGATGTTTCCTGGTATATCCATTATAGGTGGATAAGAATCTGTAGAATAGTGCATATTAAGCCACAACACTGTATTACTCTTCGTGTAGATGAGCTTCATGTCTATTACAAGAAATTTATTATAACTATTTCCTTTTAAAACTGATCACCTCTTGTCCTAATATAGGCTCCTGTGGCAGGTAAAACTCAATTAGCAATGAATCATTCATCTTGGATAGCTAAGCTGTGCAATTAAATCAATAGGCAGTTGTTGTTTTTTTTTTTACAAACACTAGATGTACTATCACATACTTCTGAAACAGAGAAATAGTATAAGTGAGCATGCATCAGGTTAAAGTACTCCGTGTGTCTACTATCATCTGAAATCTGAAAAAAAGCTTTTGATTCCAATCACCTGTCCTGCAGTGCACATTAGAGGCTCGTGCATGAATCGTGAAACGTGGCAGACGGTGTGTAAAGTTAAAAAAACAAAAAATAATACAGTATAGGGTATAAGAAGACAGAGTTTACATTTCAAAAATAGACCTCTGTTCTACTGTCTCCTCATTAAAGGTGTCATTACACTGTGTGCACAATTATCGCGCCAATTCTGGTCCTCGGGATAATTTCTATCGTTAAACAAATAAAATGCTCTTAGTCAGCTCAAATTTTACTGAACCTAAATGTGGAAATATGCCAGTGTGCATATTAAATTAAATGATTTTTTTTCCCCTCACTCACTAATTTTTTGAGGAAAATGGGTTCGTGGTAGCTTCACATTTAATTCCTCTCAAGTCTTTTGCAGTTAATTTGAGCCTGTTTTAAACCATCTCAACAAAACGTGTGATGGTCCAGTGGCCACCCCTGAACACTTCAACTATTTCCAGGAGTGTTGCATCTGTTTGAAAGGCATTTTACAGTTTTTGATCTTTCATTGTGAGTGAAATCTTTTTTTTTTTTTGTCCTATTTTGCCAAAAATATTGAAGCTGCCTGTGAATTACAGTGGTAAGAAAAAGTATGTGAACCCTCTGAAATTTCCTAGTTTTCTGCATTAATTGTTCATAACGTGATCTGATCTACGTCTACGTCACAAGTATAGACAAACACAATGTGCTCAACAAATACCACACAAACAATTATTGTATTGTAGAAATATTTCATGTCTTTATTGAACACATCCACTCATCGTGCTGGTGGAAAAAGTAAGTGAACCCTTGGATTTATTAACTGGTCGAACCTCCTTTAGCAGCAATAACCTCAACTAAACGCTTCCTATAGCTGCTGATCAGACCTGCACAACGTTCAGAAGGAATTTTTAGACCATTCTTCCCAACAGAACTGCTTCAGCTCAGCCATATTTTTCGGATGTCTGCTGTGAACGGCTCTCTTCAGGTCATTCCATTCTGCGTTGTGCCCTTGGAGTCCATTTGGCTGGGCGCCCACTTCTAGGGACAGTAGGCACAGAGCTGAATCGTCTCCATTTGTAGACAATTTGTCTAACTGTAGACTGGTGAATTCCTAAAGTCTTTGAGATGACTTTCTAGTCACTTCCGGTCTTGTGCAAATCAACAATTCTTGATCGTAGGTCTTCGGAGATCTCTTTTTTTTGCGAGGCATGGTTCACATCAGCAGATGTTTCTTATAGGGAGCAAACTCAAAACGTTTGAGCGCTTTTTATAGGTCACAGTAGCTCTACATCTCAGTCAAATCTCATTTCATTGATTGGACTCCAGGTTTGCTAACACATGACTCCAATTAGCTCTTGCTGGAGTCGTTAGCCCAAGGGTTCACTTACTTTTTCCACCAGCACAATGAGTGTTTAATGGATGTGTTCAATAAAGACATGAAATATTATAATTGTTTCTGTGGTATTATACTGAGCACATTGTGTTTGTCTATACTTGTGACTTAGATGTAGATCAGATCACATTTTATGAACAATTACTGCAGAAAACTAGGAAATTTCAGAGGGTTCACATACTTTTTCTTGCCACTGTATGTGCATTATAATGTAAAACTTCAATCCCCCTCCCTCATCACTCAAATCTATATTGGCTAAAAATGCTTAAATACAATAAGAATTCAAGGTTATGTGGTTTGGAGTTTGGAAATATGCATAGAAATAATGATAAAGTCATAATACTCACTGCCCCAACAACTGTGCACACAGTGTAAAACTCAACACAGCAGTCTGTCCAGCAAAAACGTGCAGCGTACAACACATGCACAGTGGGTTGTAACACGTCTTACTGAGCTCATTTTGATAACAAACTCATCATCAGCTGAGTTGTACTTCACATGTGACTGCACCACAACATCACTGTGACCTGTCAAATTGGCAATTTCAACTAAAATTGGGAGAAAACATCACTTGAATCAGAAAAATCAGAAAACAGCTACAGTAAGTCTCGATGCAACCAAACACACTGGAAGGACATAAAATGGAGGGATAGTGCGGAGGAGGTAGAAAAATAAAAAATACAAAGGACAAAACTGAAATAGGTTGTACCTTCATGGATGGACTTGACATCCAAATGGTCCTATAGCTCGTTTTGTTGGAATTCCACTACTAAAAATAGATCCAAAGTTTATTTTCTATGGGTTTCCATCGTTAGGAAACATGTAACATTAAATAAACTTTGAACGGATCAGAATGTTTGTATGAACCTATGGATGGTCTACAGTCTGGACATTTCCTAGTCTCCTTGCTGTCCTTCCTCTTACGTTCCTCCTTTGTTTCTTCTACAGTAGCAGAGTGGCAGACGGAGGGCTGGATCACATCAGATACCAGGCAGCTAATCCAGCCAAGGCAGCAAACCAGGTAGCGAACAGCACCTGTCCTGTGGGGTGCCGGAGAACAGCCATGGCCAGCTGACCGAAGTACGCTGTCCCGCCTGAAGCCGCTGAGACACCACACAGCACAAACTTAGACCAAAAAGTGGGATCAGTGTTATTTATGTAGTGTTTACAACGGCACATTGCTTACCTGTTTTAGCCGCATAGTAAGGACATTTGCTGATGTCTCCACCCATCGCTCCATGAACAGGCATGCCAGCATCTAAAACATCCTCCTGGATTGTTTTTCCGATCTCTTCTAACTCCTCAAACACCTGCCAGAACCACAAACGTGTGTGAGGCACAACTCTACGCTCCACAAATCGTTCATTAATAATATAGGCAGATGGGAGTGTCATTGTCATTATTCGTGCTGGTATGAAGCTCTAATGCTGCCATGAAAAGTCCTCACTACAGAGATCCGGCCCGACACAGTCATATTTACGCTATGTCATTTCAGATTTATTCGACAACCAAACTGTACGAACAATGTGAATGCAGCTTTAATCACAGTTAACCCTCTTTAAAACTAAGCATCTTAACAGAAACAAGAAGCGCACATCTGCTTCAACAGATCGACACATTCTTCCTTTCTCTAATTCTTTAGTTTCCATCCCTCTGCCTGGTCTCTCACCTCCATGTTGAACAGGAAGGCCTTGACAGCCTCGTCCACCAGCCTCTTCTTTGTCTCCATGTCCAGGTCCAGCTCGTTCATGCGACTACGGTAGAGTTGCTTGAATGCTTTGGCACTATGGATGGCATCAAACTGATAGAACTCCAGGCCCTCTCCAGTCGGCGGCAGCTTCATGGCCCTCTGTGCCACCTTCTTCAGAACCTGGCCCCCAGACAGGTCTCCCATGTAGCGGGTGTAGGCGTGGGCCACCAGCAGAACCGGGTCTTCCTGCCCTACTTGGTGGATACGGTCCACGTAGCACTGGGTGGCCTGCGAGCAGGTGGCCTTGCTCTGCCATTCTGGACCATAGAAGTACTGGAGGTCCCGGGCCAGAGCTTCGTGGCGGTGCAGCTCTGCAGGAAAGTAAAGAGGAGCAAAGTGGGGGTGGTCCTTGTTCCTTTCAATCTCCTCCTCCATGGCTGTGTAGGTGTGGTAAAGTGCCACAGCACCGAGCTGAGGAAACATCAACAAAAAGTTAGCATTACAGCGATCTCTGACAGCACTTCCTAAGAAGAAGTTTTACAGTAAAAATGCTCTTATTTATTTAATAATTGCTGCTTGACAACTACAGATATTTTGATGTCTCCTGTCAGTTTATTTGACCTCTTTCTTTAACTGTGTATTGATGTACACATCTTTTTGTTTTCTAAAGTACTTTTTGCCATCAGTTGTGAAAATTTCTCAGTGATTTTCTTCAGACTGACCTTGAAGAGCTCTTTGCGGATGCGTCCTCTGAGGAAGTCTTTCACAAACTGAGTGTTCTCGGCCTTTTCATGAATCTCCTTGGTCCCTGCTGCCAGCATCTCAGACAGATCCTCTGGACTGAGGAAAGTAAAGAAACAAGAGGTAAGACGTGCATTTGACAGAACCAGTTTGTGATCTCATTTCACTGTCAGACAGATAGATAATACAATACAGGAGCGAGATTCACCTGAGGGTGTCTTCCGTCTCGTCATACACTGGGCCCGCTCCATTGGACACACCGGCTGTTGTCTCCATCTTGTCGGCTGACATTAGCAGTGAGATCTTTTCTGCCACCTAGTGCACCCTAAAACCAGTACTAAGCATTAAAGTAGCAGTAGATTCACATTAAATCATATGGGAACAAGTGTCATCACATTATCTCTATCTATATATTGGCACTGGGATAGTTTTGCTTAAAATGTCCACAATTCTACCTTGTGTACGATTATATAATTTATCAGTATTAGTCTACAACTTGAGCCATAATTGCATAACTGCGAACAGAATAAACAAACGAACTGTACAACTGCTAAAGTACTGGACACAAGACCACAGGAACAAAATATATGCTATACATCATTTTGATAACTTCAATGAAAAGCCACAGATCATAATGTCACACACACAAAAAATAATCAACAGTACAGTCAGGAGGTCCATAATCATCAAGTTAAGGCTGTTAACGATTACTTTCACTTCATCACTTAAACACTATCAACATCAACTGATATTTGCATGTTGGAGGTAATTCAAATCTTCTAGCTTCAAATAAAAGATAGAAAACCGGTGGACATCCAGGTACGGTACATTAACTCTTACCCAAATGGCAGCAGAGGCCTAATCAGACAAAAGCTCAGCTGATGTGAGTCCACAGCTCTGAGAGGATGATGACAGTCAAAGGCAACAGGCCTTTTTTATTTCCAGCTGATTGGAGCCGTTTACCCTGAAAGAGAGACAGTGAGTTTACAGAGAACAAACTGACTCCAGTGCATGACACAGCCAAACAAAAGACAGCTACACAACACAGCACAGGCCTTCTGGCGTTTACCAGGAGTCCCACAGACCAACAGTGAGCTGGAGACGATCGAAGCAAGTTAATAAAGTAATTTAATCCCATTCAGTCCCCTCCCCTAATCAGTAAGCACAACCTCACGCCGTTTTTTTATCGGTAAAGGGACGCTGCAGCTAACGGTGATGCCCTCTAACTTGCTGGCAGCATAATTTTGACAAACACAGCTAACTTTCCTGGCTAGCTAAGTGAGCTACCAGCTAGCTAGCGTAGAAGTCAACAAACTCGTATGAACATTTCACCAGCAGCGTCATGTTTGTTCACTTTTAGAATTCGCTTTAATATCGCTAAATGTGAAACCCTGGACATCGTGGAGGCAGTAAACAGAACAAACCTTCACTGTGACACCGATAAGATCAGGTTGCGGTGCTCCAGGACGAAGCCGGACGTCTAACTCCGCCCCCTGCCGGCCTCCACTGGTCATGTGCTTCTCTCCAGGAAGTGTGACGTAATTTGTAGTCCGGAATACATCAAAGTGTAGTTCTTACTGAGTCACCACTCCTGCTGCCCCTACTCCTAACACAACCATGGAACTAATAATATAAACGATTACTTTACAAATTTTCTGTTATTCAAGACAATTTCTGAGTAATTCTGGATACTTATCAAGTCATTTTTTAAGATGCTTCAACTTGTTCGAGCCAATATTTAATTAATTTTCTACAAATTTTGAGTCATTCCGGACAAGTTTGAATCATTTTTGACAAATTCTAAGTCACTTTGTGCTTTTTTAAAATCATTTCATTCTATTTTTGAATTATTCTATCCAAATTCTAATCCCGTCTGGATTAGTTTTTATTAATTCTGGACAGGTTTTGAATCATTTTGTGCTTTTTTTTCTTTTTTCTTTTTTTTTTTTTTAAAGTTGAATCATGCTGGAGAAATTTTAGGTAATTTTGTTCATTTTTAAATATGTTTTTGCCAGCTTGTCCAAATTTTAATTCATTCTGGACAAACTTTCTGTTATTTGGGACAATTTCTGTGTACGTTTTGACAGATATCAAATCATTTTTGAACATTTTAAGACATTTTGACCCTTTTCTTGTTTTGTACAACCTTTGAACAACTCTTGACTTTGTTTCGAGTCAAAAAATACAGAACTAAAAATGGCTCCAACTCAAGCATGCAGACTTTTATGTGGAATAATGTTGTGGGACAGACAAAAAGTGGGTAAGAAACACCCTAAATATGCTTCAAACTACAAATGAACTTTCTTCTGTTGATTCTTGGTTTGTTTGGTTTTTGATTTTGCCATTGAAATAGGCCTTCACTTCTCACAGTAACTTCATGACTTGTGCTTTGTCTAGCTCCATATTACATAAATCAGTTTGGTCCTGTATTGTTAAATGTTAGAATATCAGACTTACTTCAAAGACTATTATGTGGGGTGGAATTGCTAGCTCTACGTTCAGCCCTCCTCCTTTATCCGGGCTTGGGACCGGCAAAGTGACCCAAAGACACACTCTGGCAGAGTTACTGACATTTTTTTTATATCTTTTTTTTGCTAGCCCTAACCTAACTATATATTTTCATATTTTCAAAAACATAACTATATATTTTCATGCATTTGTCATATATATGAGAGGATGATCCTTTCATGTACGACTAATAAATGCACTTTAATTTATCAAATCATGTATGACAGTATCAGCCTCTCGAATATGATTTGAAGTCACGTCTAACCCTAACCCGAACCCTAGCCCCTTTTAGACTTATTTTCTTTTAAAACTTTTTAAATTCTTTGATTTCTCTAAGCCTCCTTGACGGCTTTTAGATTTCACTCTACAATAATCCCTCAAGATTTTTTAGAGCATTATCCTGCAATCAGCCTAAAATAACTTTTTATAAACTTAAAATTAAACTTAAAATACAACTTTAATCGGGTCCTGGAGCATTTCTGGAAGGCAACAGCTTGCTGCGGCTGGTCCAGATTCTCAGATTCCTCTCTGCATTTCTGATGAGCCCTGGAAGGCAATGGCTTGCCATGGCTGATCCTGCGCTCATGGGAAAAGCACTCACCCCAGCACCCTCAACCAATTTCTACAAACCTATCTGGGCAGTTTGCAGCAACCTAGCGGTGTCAACAAGCAATCTGTTAACTCGCATAGGTGGTAAGTATGCGGCCCCCCCGGGTTCCGACTATAGGAACAGCACGCGGGGTGTGGTGGTCCAGGGCCTCAGGACCTTAAACGTAGCCCAGTTTTCTATGAGGATTAGCCTCACCCATAAAACACACCATACCACACCACACACGACAGAAATTTCTTTTTCCCAAAAAATCAATTGGACTCCTTCAAATTCTCCCCAACCCCCAAATTCCACATCCCCCAGTCCAACTTAGGTGACTGGGCCGAGAATGCACCGGGACCTAGCCTTCGCATCACCTTTCCCTAACTCAAGAGGTTTAGCTGAGGATGCAACGCAGCCTAGGTACCAATAGTCACCTCGTAACATTTAAATAACTCCACCAGAAACTTTTTAATTTTTTAATTTACTTTATTTCCTCCCAAACGATTATTTACATCTTACGTAGGAACTTTTGGTTTCATTTCTTGCCTCTTAAAATCTAAAACTTTTATAATTTCTCAGCCCATAAGCAAAAGGACTATACAAAAACAAAAGATTAGGAATAACAATAATAAAGATCTTTATACTACAGAACAAAAATCATTCATTAAGTTATTTTTAAGCGAAAATCTAAACTTCACAGGGACTTAAATCCCCACCAAACCTAAAACTTTATACGGAAAAAAAACCTAAACTTATCCCAAATTTAACTAACGCACAACTATAATAACCAAACAATATGTCTCTAAACACCAACAATAAAACCACTTGGCTATGGGACACATCCCGAGGAATTGATCAACCTCGGGCGGGCCTTCCTCGGGTGAGAGTGTCTAGTGATAAGTGGCCGAAACACTCGATGAGCCTGGGGTCCACTACTGATGATGTGTCCTAAAATTATAGAATTTATTAATTTATTAAATAAATTACTAATTAAAAATATTAATAAAACTTATCCAAAATTCTCAAAAGTTTCTAAAACTTGCAAAACTTGCATTGCCTTTGCTTCCTACTTCCTATTGTATTGTACATCACAGCAAGAAAACATGGCCTAATAGGAGCACGAGGAAGACAAGTTTTCTGGAAACGTGCTCCTATAACACACAAGACATAAACGAAACATAGATGGCCTACAGTCAATATTTACAGAACACAAATCCTCCTCCCCCCCATGACTTATTGGCTTTTATATCTTTCGATTACACTTTTCTTAAATCTATATTTAACTTTTTTTTTTACATTCACTGTTTATGGAATTCCACAGCTTCACTCCATTTACTGAAAAACTCCTCTGTTTTAGTGCAGTTCTTGAAAAAGGCACTCGAAAATCTCCTTTCCTTCTGCTGTTACTGTCCGTGATCAATGAAAACAAATTTAATAAAGGTTCTGGTGACGACCCCTTGGATATCTTACTCATCATTATTACAATTTTAAAATCAACAAGATCTTTGAATTTCAAAACATGAGATTTAATGAAAAGGTCATTTGTGTGCTCCCTTTTGCCTTTATAAAACATGCAGTTCAATATTAATGTTTTATACTGAACACAAATTATAAACTATTGTTAACCCATTTCTACATATTCGTCTTGTTGTGCACCAGAGGGTTTGGTTTATTCCAGGACAGTGTGATCCATCAGTCTTGAATGTGGATGCAAATATTATTGCAGTTGCAAATTGCAAACTTGGAAATTTTTCCCCCCATGATATGGTGTTCAGCTTTGTGATCAAACAAATTACTTTTTGACAACACCTCCTGTTGCTCTCCCAGGCCTCACTAAAATGATTGCAAATTTGTAGTTCTTCCATAACAGCATCGGTATGATCATCAACAGCTATCTCTCCTGTGACAGTGTTTTTTTCAGTGTTGTTAAATGCAATACAAGCTAGTGCAGTTTTATTTACATGGCACCAAATCAGAACATGAGCTATCTCAGAGCACTTAGTAAAGTCAGGACCTCACAGTATTATACAGAAAAAACCACCAACTACCCTTTGAAGCCATACTGAACTGTGTGCCTTGACTGGTTGGAGTGAAAGAAAACCTTGGAGAGAAAAGATGAGCATCGACAATTGAAAGATAGCAAACACTGGGAAGGTTGGTGAGGCCAGTGTGGTGCAGCTCTTAAACCGAGTGATACCTGCAGAGCGTACAGGGAGAGATAGAGGACAGAGAGGAAAAAGCACAATCATCTCATCCATATTATAGTGTCCTTCCTGTCTGCACAAGCACTCACGCTTACAAAAATGTCATATAACAGGACTTCTGCATTAAAGACAGACTCAGTGTGCACAGAAATGCATTATACACTTCTATGCAGCCAGCTTGTCCAACTGAGTCCCAGTTTTACTGCATTTTTTCCTGTTGAACAAATTCTAATGGCTAAGTTGGCAAAGTCAGAGACTGAGAAAAAGGTGAAATGAATCAATAGAAACTGTGGGGAGTTTCCATCTGGATCCAAGACAAGCCTCCGTATAAACTTAGATCAAACACAGAGAAACAAATTAATTAAATGTGTGAGATTTGACAGATGACAGTCCAGTGTCTTCACAGAATGTTCTGCGTGTTTGTCCGGAACCAGACCCGGACTCATCAGCTACCAGAACCTCGCCTTTCTTTCCATGCATGAACTTTCACATGTTGGACTAACACAACAGGTTTGCTGTGCAGTCGGGGTTTGCCACTGACATCCAAATCTGCCGATGATTTTGCTGGTGTTTTTGTGCACGTATGACTCATGCATGCTGTTCATGAATTATGCACGAGGCGGTTGTTTATGTTGCAGAGCAGATTTGTCCATCAGTGTGTGATTCTGTGCAAGGTGTTTGAAAGCCTGCTTCTATGTAATGTGTGTGTGAGTGTGCGTACGCGTGTGCATATGTGTGTGACTGTCTGAGGCTGGTATCAGTCTGGCAGCCGGCTGCAGTGTCAGATGCTCGGTTGGCGGGGCAGCTGACTGCCTCCCCTTCGCTCTGCTGCTGAGCCACGGGAGGCCGGTGGGGGAAAGATGAGCTAACAAGATGATTCATTTCCCTCCAGTGGGGCTAGCAAGCTGTTGCCATTTTATGAAATAGCTTTGGGAAGTGCTTTTGTGCCTCTGATGCAGTTCAATAAGAGAGGAGGTGTAAGACTGCCAAACTTAATTCTCCTGGCTACCAATTTGTCCATTTATGGATGATAGCCTCACAAAACAAAACAGAACTTTGACATTGACTTCCACTTGTTTAGTCAGTCTCCTCTCCTGAGGACTCTGTGTGATTTCAGTGTGCTGATGGTCTGATTAACATGCCTCGAACGTAGCAGGTGGTCCATTTCACTGCACCATTCCAACACCTTGGATCTGATGATTTACTTAGCATTGAATTAATCAGAAGAGCAGAATAAATGCATTATAATGAAACATTACACAACCATAGCCATGTGGGCGTATA